TTATATTTTATCATAATTTAATATATTTTATCTATTTTATCTTAATTTCGGTTTCATTTTTGGTTTTCAATTTTTAAAAAATTCAACCAAAATCAAACCAAAATATATTTAATTAATATTAAAACTAAAAAAATAAAATCAAAAACAATTAAAACCAAACCAAATTCATTTTTTTAATTCAATTTTCGAATAAACAATCAAGTCGATTAAAAAATACCCAGCCCTAGATAATACCTCAAAGAAGATCTTGACACTTTTTACAAAATATGCGCATCAAAAGTTGTGTCCGATTTTTTTACAATGATGCAATCTCTCCAATTATAAAAAAACTGTTCATCTAGTCCTTGAACTTACATTCTTCTTTCCTAAATTTTATCTCTTAACTTCTGTAATTTTGCAATCCAGTTATCAGATTTGTGATTTCTTCTAGTTACGTCCTTTCCTGCATAAATAATGAAATTTTTGCAAAATCAATTAAAATCACTCTTAAACAATGCGAAGGAATTTAATTTTGAGATAGAAAGTGCATACAAAATTATCTAGAAATTAGACATATCAAAGAGCTATTGTGGAGAAAATGATGGGCACTTTCGAAGGCTAGGAGGTCCACCATCTTCTTGGCTTGGTTGCAACAGGAGTTTCAACAAGCCTTCAAGCTTTCCTTGTATTTTTCTATTGTTTTCCTATGTTGTTTCCTATTTGTTTGGTATTAATGTATTCCTTAATTAGCTTTTTCTAGTGATGTAATGAATGATTTTATCATGGTTGAATATGTATAGTTTTCCATGCTGGAAAAAAAAATGAGAAAAGAAATAAACGCAATTGATATTAATGATATTCACCTTGTACATCACTTGATAAATCTACATTCACCAGAAAGAGAAATTAACACAATTCTCTATTAAAAAATAGTATAATAATTTGATGTAAGAAATTGAAAAAAATTAAGACATTTTCACAATTAAAATAATAATAATAATAATAATAATAATAATAATAATAATAATAAAAGACTTAATCAATACATAAAAAAAATTAATTAAAATTATTTGAATACTATCATAATGTAGAAAGTCCTAACATTTTACATATCAAAACATCCTAATTTTAACATTTCTAATATGATAAAAAAACACTCTAAATTGTAATAACTTTTAGTCCTAATCTAATAAAAACCACAACAAAAAAGGTTATAAACTAATTGGCACCCATATTCATTTGCATCAATTTGACAGTTTAGCTAGTATTATACAACGAATGACAAGAGGCTATTGGGGACGTGTGTTATCATACTGATAGAAATGCGTCTTCCGTTAGCAAATATATATATATATATATATATATATATTTGGCTTAAGTATTGGAAAAGGACCCCAATTTTTACTAAATTCTCAATTGAGGTCCTCAACATTTATTATGCTCAATTAAGGTCTCAAACTCATGCAAACTCTCAAATAGGACCCAATTGGATGGAATCCTAAACATCCGTTTAAGTCTAACGTGACTCCCGTTATAATCCGTTACCCCTCAATACCTGGCATGCCAACCAGACAATAAAAAGTATTCTCAGACATGCCATGTTGTAATCCCACATCTCTCAATTTTCTGCCATCTCTCCTCTTCCTTCCCACTCCACGATTTGGGGGCAAAATCCCTATAATTTTCAGTTTGCTTCTTTTCTGTGCAGGGTCTTCTTCTCCACCCAACAGCAGCCCACCCTGTCCCTACAACTTCTCTACCCAACGGCCGGCCTCTCTCCGTGCAAGTTCTTCTTG